ACTGACTTCCGTCCAAGAAACAGGATGCATTCCTGCAACCATGTAAGACAAAAATGTATACCTGGTCAAAGGCCCGGATTGGCTAATCAGGAGGACCGGGAGAATTCCCGGTGGGCCGGTCCGTTTTTTGGCCGCAAGGGCCGGTGTCCCTAGCTGCCTGCACTCACAGCAGTCGCACTTTTTTTATTATTTATTTATTTGTTTATTTATTTATTTTACCATAGCCTCACTCTTTTTATTCATCATTTTACCGCAGCTCCACTCTTTTTATTTATTTTCTCGCAGCCCCATGAGCAGAATACAGCCTGCAAGTTAATGATGACGTAATTACTGTAGCATTCGACTTCCCCGACAGCGGCACTTTGCTCAATAGATCAAAATCAGTTGTTAAGAGATACACGAGAGATGAAAAATGGATAATAAAAAGCGAAAAGGTGGCGCTGAAAAGGTCAGAATTAAAAAAAAAGAAAGCTCTAGAAACTGACGCGGCCAAATGTACTAAGCTGAGTACATTTTTCGTTAAAAGCAGAGGCAGCGAGAGTACAACAAAACATGAAGACGATGAAACGGCCGGTAAGTTAACGTTAAGCTAGTTAGGAGCAGTGCAAAACAACGATGTCTGCAAACCACCGTTCATGCTTATGTATCGAACTTTTTCTTGTACTGTAGCTCTTCGGCAGCAGCAGCCTCTAGTCCAGTTAGCTGCTAACAGTGAAGAGCCAGGCAACGTAACGTTACCAAGCACCAGTCATGAGCCCAACACACTAGAATGGGCAGGTAGGATTGTCATTGAGTGAATATAAGAATTCGAATAATTAATATTAATATTAATGAATATTACACCTGCTCAATGAAAAATGCCTGAGATAATTAATGACATCAGATGATTCACTACATTAATAAATCTGACTTAACTTGATCAGAAAGCTAAAAAGGGGAAATTTGTGGTGAGAAATATAATATATAATATTTTTAAAATTTTATTTAGTGTCACGCAGAGCCAGGACCCAGTTGTATCATGCAAGAGACTCTCAATGTGGAAAACACAGGTAAGCTGTTGTACCACAGGTAAAAAAAAAGTCTTGCAGATAACAGTGCAATACTTGTTTTATTCTTTATTTGTGTTTAAGGACTGGATATCTGTGAACAATTTTGCACAGAATATATATTCAGATATTGCAGAAAAGGACATTGTGATGTTTTAAAGAATAGTGTTGGAGATTTACCCTTTAATGTTCTCATATTTATGAAAAATATTTGAAGTTATAAAGCAGCTGTTTCCTTGAAAAAGACATGATAGTGTCATTAGAAAGTTTAATACATTTTATTTTAATCTTTATTTTATACATATAGCTAAATATATATTTGTATTTATTTGATATTTTTTCATTTCATGGTTTGGATAATTCTTACAGAAAATAGATTTTGATACTGTTAAACATTGTGTTAACTTCACTGTGAAGCAACACTTAGGCTACTGTATTTGCACTGAATTGGAAATGACGTTATTTTAATATAGTCCAGTCATGAACTAAAGTGGGCCGGTCTAAGGCTTGAAACTCCAGGGCTGAAAAGGAGTCCCACTCCGGCCCTGCCTGGTCAGTCAAGAAGGTCTAATCAGTCACTACTCCTGCAGTGGTGCTGAATATTGTGTGTATGTTTGTGTGTGTGTGTGTGTGTGTGTGTGTGTGTGAGTGTGTGTGTGAGTGTGTATGTGTGTGTGTGAGTGCTTCCATTTTGGTTTCCTTTTTTGGGGTACATTAATAATCTCGCATTTGAACACTGGACATGTGTCTAGCTCAAACTCAAGTTCGCTGAGGTCTCTTCCTTGAAGCTGACTGTCTATAAGCTACCTATGCTAACTAAGCCCACAACAAGGCTACTTCAGATTTCTCCTGCAATCCAAAGATATGTGGTTAGGAAAAAAGAGCATCTAAAAACGGCCCGTGGTGTGACTAATTGTGTGGCCTGCACCCCAGTCAGGATGTACCCCAGCCTGCTGCACTGTGCTACCTGGGATAGACTGCAGTCGCCCCTCCCCCCCCCCAGTTTGGAATAAAATGAAGGGAAGATCTATCTATAACATTATGACATAATGTTATTGTTTTGCACTTACGCAAACTGCATTATTCACTATTTACTTTGTTCAGACACCATCTTTAAATATTTGCTGTATAACTGTAATAATTCTGTTGCAATATCAAGATTAACATTATACCATTTAGTTTTATAAGCAAGTCAAAATTACTGTACAATCAATTTTACCTTCTTTAAATAATTAACATATAAAAGATTAACACTTTTTCATACACGATAGTTGCTATCCCAGTGAGATGGGAAAGACATTAACGCATGGAGACTGTACAACTCCCAAGAAAGATATCAAACACTATAATAAAAGCTTCCTTTGTTATGAAAAATGCCAACATTAAACCACAGTGTGCATTCATATTGCTATGAAAACCAGTTATCTGCCAGTTTCATTCTCCTTCAAGAAAATCCTTATTTTCATTAGCAACCAGCCCAACAGCACTTAAAATACTATACTAGGTATAGTAGGTTAAGTATTGAACCAAAACATGCTTATGATGATACCTATAAATTACCCCATCTGTCTGCAAGTTTACGTCTAACATGTAAGTTCTGTTAAATGCAAATGATTCAATAATAAAACATAGATTAATGGCATAAAAATGTATTGAAGAGATTATGCTGATTCTGCTGCCAGTGAAATAATACTGATTGTAATTTCATTTTTTAACATCAAAGGAACTTGTGAAAATAATAAAATGCTACATCTGTCCTCTCTTCAAATACAAGACGTACAAATGTTTAGCAGGTAAATGCACGATTACACAGATAACAGGTCTTATATAAGAAGCACATCTATACAGCAACAATGGACAACAGGAAACAGCTGAACTTGTTTGGTACTCTCATCCACGCTTATATATAGGAAATGCATGGTGGGAGTACATGCCGGGGTACTCCGAAACCAGGTGACACGCCCATGCAGGATAGAGGATACTGCGGGATTGCAGGAGAAATCCATCAGACGGCCCGGTCCAGCCAAAGGAATGAAGTTTAGCTGCCCTCGGCCGTCCCAAACAGACTGTCCACAAACTGCAAACCTAGGCATTTCGATCTGACAGATAAGGCAGAATGCATCGACTTGCGCGATGGTAAACATATACTACTGGTAATCTGGAATAAAAGTTTAAAAACCAAGGTTTCCCATCACAATCAAAGGTTCCCATGTCTGTCGGTATCGTTCGTATGGCATCGGCAAAACACCAGGTCCGCAATGGCGATGACGATAATAATGCTTTTAACTTTACTCGGCCACAAGTACAGCTCTTGCACTTATCCTTTAAAATGGTCGTCTCTGCCAGCAACTTTTCTAACGACCCGGCTTAGTCAATGCGCAAAACACTAATAACGGAGTAACTTGTATCAGTCAACACGGGAAGTTAACACTACGCTGCCCACGAACACTGGAGAAACGGCTAGCAACTTTATACTGTACTTAGCTGTCGTCCCAATAAATGAGGAAAAAAACTTACCTTTTGAATCACAATTAGTCGGTGCACTGGTTAAAAAACGAAGGCCCGTACGTCTATTGGGTTCAGCTTCAAATAAACAAAACGGCTGAAGATGTGAGGTCGCAATATCGTATTTTTTCTATAAACGTCTCTCCGCTTCTCTGTCGGAAGCAGACTGTGAAAGCACTCTGACCTTCCAGCATTGATGGCAGTCGAACCAGCTGCGAAAGATGTTTCATTGACAGCTCCACGGACCAATAGCATGAAAGGAAATGAGCTCTACTGCTCCATTATTCATTAGCAAGATACCCAGGAACCAATCATCTCCTAATGACGTGAAGGGTGTGTCCGAGGGGCGAAGGGGAGGTCGGTTTCTGCAGTGTTTATGATTTGGCCCTCTGTCGCTGTTCTAGGGATATTCTTCACTCCCCCCGCCGCGTCGCTGCCAGTTGTGCCACGAATCGCTGGGAGGACGTGCACATTGTTAGAAAAGCCGAACTGGAAAGTCATCTGAATTACCGGCAGCGGTGACGTCATCGCCAGTTTAATGAGACAAGTGTACAGTGAGATTTCTTTTCATTAACCGAGACGAGTCATAGGCCAGTAAGAAACAGGTGATCGACAGCTTGTAAGGACTAATGTTGAGACAAGTGTGGAAAATTTTTAGCATAATTTTGTGCCATAATTATTAATAACACTTGAAAATAATTATGATAATTTTCAGTTTTTCTTGTATTATTCTCTCTTAACGATGTTGTAATGTAAAGCACCTTGGGACGAAAAGCGCTATATAAAAGTAAATGGAATTTATTTTAAATATTAAATGAGATTTAAGGGCCTATATTGATATCTTTTTCTTTTCCGCAACTACTTTTTAAAAGTATTTAACCCTAAAAATTATATATATATATATGTTGACATTAACATTTTTGGCCACATTGAACGATGTCTCTCTTTTTAGAACAAAATATGCATATGGCAGTAGATAATTTTCTAGTTGTGAAGCAGGCTTTCCAAAGAGGAGTGGGGGGGGGAGTGTTGGTAGGATGATTCCAAGGGCCCCTGAGTGACAGGGCCCCTAAAAAATTTGGAAAATAACTGGATTGGTCTGGACTGGGGGGCCCAATATGACCAAAATGTCCAAAATCTTTAGCAAAGTGCCTGTGTGTAAGTGAAGCTCATCATGGTGACGCTCAGGCATGTCACTGAGTCTTGTATGATTCTTTGTTTTCAAAATGAACTTTATCTTTATGTGATCATGTCAAATAAGTTCATTAAAGGCTAGTGGCTTTACTGTGTTTTCTGGTGAACCAACTAAAACTGAGAGAATTAATTAATCATCAATTTTCAACAAACTATTGTTCATAAAGCATTAAAACATTATTGCAGAATTTGACTATTTTCAGCATTTCCACAACCTGGAGCAATCCTACTACCAGAAGGGACAAACAGGAGTACCATGGTGAATCACGTTGCTTTTATTAAAATATCGGTGGCTTAGAAAGCAAAATGAGAAAAGCAAAAAAGCATTATTTGGCTAAATGGTGTATACAAGCCTATTTAACTTATGTGATCCACAGAAACATGATTGAATCTTATACCCTATTTTGACTGAAAAAAGAGTGAAAAGAAGGTGAAAAGAAAATACATATTATTTTGTTTTTGCAGGCATTCTACGTTATTAGGTAATATAAAAGCTTAAAACTTTTTTTAAATCAACGGTAATCCACAGTGGGCCACAAGGTATGAATGATGGCGTATACATGGGCAGGCAGGTAGCAAAGTAACCCGAGACATGGACATGTAACAAAATGCTACTGGCTGGTTATATTTTTGCAACTACAGTAAACATCCAGTTGCAATAATAGGTTAAAACGTTTATTTGAATAACAGCATCAGGCTATGCAATTCATAATACCCTTAGACATTCTCTGCTTTAGGGAAACTTTCACTGTTGGCTGGATGATAAAAAGTTTGATTTAGACAAGTGGCACTTAGGCCCTGATTCACACTCATTTTAAATAGATAATTAAATCAACTGTGTAAACTAATTATAAGTGTAATTTTTAAATGCAGTGAAAAGTTTTCTATCATCTTGGATTAATTACAGAATTCAGCTTAGGTATGACCTTAAATATTCTAAGTATAAAATCTTGCTCTGAATGTATTTAAAATTATTCACTGTTCTTTAATTTATGGTACACATATCATAAATAAAATGTAAGTACACCAAATAAGTTACCTATCTTTTCAGAGATTTACACTGGCAGTCCAGGCTCTGGGTTGCCTACCCCCCATCTAAGCATTAATCACTAGGGTACTGGCTCTTCCAGCTGGTATCTCCTCACATTTACGGTTCAGAGTCAGAGTAAAAAGGCAGTTCTCAATCTGCAAAGAAGCACTGCACTAATAAAACACAGTGACTCTGCTCCTGTTTGAGTGTACAGTGTGGTTCAAGGGCCTTTCGTGGTGATTCACATTCTACATACATATAAATGTATGCATAAAAATCAAACCAAAAGAATACCATTCTATATTTTCACAATGTGCTCTTTTTGCTTGGGAAAGCCTTTGAATTCAGTACTGTCTGACTGTGAAGTAGCTCTTTAGAGTGATAGGGAGGGGAATAACAACTTGGAAATTTCCTAAATAAAGAAAATAAATGCATGAAAACATGAAACACAAGATTGTTATCCTTTTGCAGACATTTTTAATTGCATAGCATGTTATCTGCTTTACCACAATCAATTTCATTGCCAAAATTTCAGCCACTGCTCCCATCTGCTGGAGTCATTATGCATGTGATGACTTAGAAGACACCTTTGTTGTACTGTTCTGACTGATCTTCAGAAAGCAAAAGAAGTAAATGAGGAAATAAATCTTTTTTAAGGAATTGCTGATGTGATTTTCCGTAAATGACAGATTTTCACATCACTTCTGTGGTGACATATTCTACAGCTGAAGAGTAGCAACACATTTTAATTTAGCCTTTGTGTATGTGGTGTATAAAATTAGTCTGTAGTACTCTGAAAAAAGTGTGCAATTTTGTTTAACATATATGAGTGAAAGCAACACAATATTAATACAGTAAAATACCATCACACATCACATTTAATAGCTTTTGAGTGAAAGCAACTCCCCCCAAAAATAATTCCAATTCTCAATAAGAAAAAGCAATATCCTTTCCTAAAGATCTGTGAAATCCTTTAGGCAGCCAAGAATTCTAAAATTCTTAAAAATCATTAAGAAATTCCTCTGTGACCCCACTTTACGTATTGCTAAATTAGGCTATATGATACACTGTACTCAGAAAATAAAACGGTTCTTAAGTATGCAAGAACTTTTGTTGTTTATTATTAAATGTTTCTGTATGTACTTTGCTTGAAAAATGTCATCCAGATAATTAGTAATCTTGAATAAATGTCAATAAAACATTTGAAAATATAAAAATTAAAAGTATATCTGTGACTTTAGATCAGTTTGTCCTTTATAATAAGTATAATAAGTATTTTTTTGTTTCAAATAAAACCACGTCTTGACATTGTTTGGAGTTGTGTTTACATGTCTCACTGATGACAAAAATTGCTGCATTAGATTGTCTGCTTTGTGTATTTTAATGATGAATTCAGATGATAACTTTTTATCATGTTCATCTATGCTAACAGCTTAAACATATCTTATTGAACAGTCAGTCTTTTTCAGATTCTCTTTGCCATAAAGCCTTCTTTGAGTTAGCATTCTACATGAGCTCAAGGCTGACGCTTTTTTTCCACCAAGAATCCAAAAACATGCTGACATCTGCTGTTCAGGCTGTGTATTTAATTGTGAAACGAAATGGAAATCAGATGCAGTTTTGTCAAAAATAAAAAAAGACATAAAAAATAAAACATACAGTGTAATAGATGCAACTATGCTTGTGACAAAGCTGCAAAATATTGACAAAAAAAAAGAAAAAATAGGAAAAGCGACTGTAAAGATGTTGATTCATTTTTAAAATCTAACATCTTTCCTTATCTAGGCAATGACTAAAGAGAGATTAGTATAAAGAGTTAATGGATTAATGATACTACTACACTACAATGATAATGAAAATACGCCCAAGCTTAGTCTGTATCTATCTTTTGTGTTCAGAGTGTTGTCACATTGAATTTTTTTCTATTCATCACCACGTCTCCCATACCCTCAGCCCTCCAAACTAGTCGCTGTCTCTGTCTTGATCCTGCTCCGCTAGAGCCAGCTCTGAGTCCTCTACCATCTCCATCAGGGCCTGAAGCTCTGGGTTGTCCTCAATCTGCAGCTCACCCGATTCCCCTGGCTCCTCCTCCTCACCAGCTACCTCCACCATTTCAGTGCCATGGACCTCTACCTCGCCATCCCGAATCTTCTTCACGTGGAAGGTGAAAGGTGGAACCTTGTAAACGGCTGTCTTGGAACGAGCATACACTGTGTGGTCTGGAGTGAAAGACTTCTTCATCTTATCACGAGAGGACTTCAGCTTTTCTTTGCGCTCGGTGTTGACTGACATCCGAGTGCTTAGCTTGCCCATCTTCTTCTCAATGTTTTGTCGGGTTTTCTCAAGGTTCTCTCGGGTCCTTTGACGGGTCTTCTCCAGGTTCTCCTTGGTCTTCTGCTTGGTCTTCTCTAGGTTTTCCTTGGTCTTCTGCCTGGTCTTCTCCATCTTCTCCTTAGAGAAGACCTTCTTAATGTTGTCCACCCTCTGGAGGCTACTGCGCTTGATGCGCTCTGCCCGTGACTCCTCAATGATCTCCTCAATCTCCACCTCTTCATCAGAAGAGAGGTTGGGGTTAGCCTTTTCGCCGTCCTCCTCAGTTTCCTCTGCCACCTCCTTCAGCCCTGACTCTGCTTCACCCTCCACACTGTCCGCAACTTTCATGGATTTAGATATTGACAGTCTAGAGGGCATCTTCATATCGTCCTACAAAACAGAAAAGAAAAAATAAATAATTACTGATCACACCAATTAAAGGTTTAAGTCCTGTCAGTCAAAAAAATCATCACTGATGTACATGTAACACTTATATTTAAGGACTTACAGCTGATTAATTTACTTGGAAACAAAATATTTTGATGCTGGTAAAGTGCTACCATATGATGATGATTCATAACTCTGGGTTCACAACAATAAAAATTATGAAACTTATATGAGCTTAGTTCCCAATGGAAAAAAATGTAATTGCTGTATATATTTTTATTCTTGTTCAGTATTACAAATGAATGTATCACGACACCCATCCTTCAGAAAAGCCACACACAGGTACTGCAAGAACAGAATCTGAAAATGTTCCACATCCTGAATGTGCTGTGTGCTTGTTTTAGCTCAGATCATAAGCCTTTCTTTCTATTAGTAAGACTTTCCAATAAAAGTGCAGTCACGCAAGTCCTGTATACTTGCCGATGGCGAGTTCCCGAATGTGGAAAAGAGGAAACTGAAGAACTATGTATATGTTGAGGGTGTAAATTGACATGATTCTTTGTATGTCACTCTTGCAAAGGCTCCAGGCAAATTTCACTGCAAATCCACCCTTTCTGGGCATTTTCAAATTCCTGGCCTCCACACCCAAAGAATCAACTGAATTTTATAATCTGTTTTCTTTAAAGGACTCCACGACTCGTCTGATTTGAAAAATGAATGAATGAATGAATTTATATGATGCTAACCTTTAAATTGTAAAACTTCTTTTGATAGTAGTAGCCATAGCACAGTAAGATTCAACTGTATCTGACAGAAGCATATAAAGTTACATGACTGCATTTTTAAAGTTTGACTTTAACATAGCCCCCTCTTGTGGCAGTGGATGAATACTAACGTGGAAATTATTCGTTCTAAGACCTCTGATCAAATATGTGCAACATACCCTTGGGACTCAATTTGGAAAGCTTGTTTATCATCTACAAGCACATTCTACAGTCTCCACCCTTCCTTCATTTTTTGCACTCTTGCTGCTGAAGTCCGTGTTTCATGCACCTATTGTATACAATGCATCAACATGTTTATGGAAAGAACTCCATTTTTCCACCATCCTGATAGGTTAAGTCACTCTTTCTGCTACCGGTATAACCTGAGCCCACATTGTGCATTGTTCTGAGGGAGCAGGAACACCCAAGCTAACATTATGAAAAGCAATGGAAGAAAACACGCTTTCATTTAACCAGAAGCGACTATTCAAAGTAAACCTGGAGAACCATCTGCTTCTCTTTCTCTCTGAGGACCTGCACACCCAAGCAAGTTATCAAAGACCTGACACGTGCTCACGAGGTGTGAGATTCTGAAAATACTTGAGCTTAAAAACAAGACCAGCATCTCCCTACAGATATAATTGAGAGGGCTTATTCAATCTGTTCAGCAAAATGGCTGTACAAACAGGTAGCTTTTTCTCATGTGTCTCAGGTGGTTGGTGTTTGTTGGCTTTGTTCTTTTTTATAAGCAATGCAAATGTGAACTACGTGTGCAGCACCTGAAAGATTGTAAAGCCAAGGGATACTATTGTCATTGGAAAATCACAACTGTTCAGAGGGGCTCCTGGAGAGATATGCACTAGTGCAGAGTTTCTCAAAGCGTTCCTTGGGGACCCCCAGACAATATATATTTTTGCTCCCTCCCAGCTCCCAGGGGAGCAAAAATATGGACTTTCTGGGGGTCCTTGAGGACCGAGTTGAAAAACACTACAGTAATGGATGCAGAATTATAACTGTTTTGCTGATCTTTGCACTCTAGTCAATGCTTAGGATACTGTTGATTAAGCTTAATGATTAGAGAAACTGGCAACCAGCCTTTGGTTAGTCTTTTAATTAAAATAAGATGTTTTTTTTTCAGAGAAAACTGTCAGAGAAAACTGCTCAGACAAAGACATTTTGTCTTTCATGCAAGAAAGAAAATCAGCCTTAATCTCCATAAAAACAACCAAAAGAGGATGGAAAGTTCTGGTGGGTTTAGGGTTATTGTGTTGTTAATTAAATGACTCATTTCAGAGGCACTGGAGGTTTTTTTTTTCATTTTCAGGAAAAATGGCATCAACTTCATTGCACATGCAATTATTAATTAGGGCAGCTTGATTTATAGACACATGTGGGTCTGTAATAATATTCATACATAATATAACATAACCTATATAGTATAACCTAAAAATTATAATTCAGTTGTACACCACAGTGATCAAAGACAACCTCTGTCTGCTCAGAAAGGGTTGGAAATGTGACTTGCACACTTGAGGAGTCAGGAAAATGGAAATAAGCAGAACTGGGAAAGGGCCTCTGTCAGCATGGCGTGACTGGCTGACGTCGCCGCATTTCCATTACTGTTTTCTTGTTGTTATTGTTTGCGAAGGCCAGGCAGGAAGGGAAGCTCCAGATTCTCGTCCAGCAGGACATGATGACAGAGATGCGAGGGCATGGGGGAGCGTTAAACGCCGGGAGGCAGGAAGCGGCCCAGTGCACAACAACATGATTTTCCGCCCTTTCTTTCACTAATTAGTTAATCCATTAAACCCCGACTCTTGTTCAAGAGCAGAGCACCAGACCCTCTTATGTAAAAAAAAATTCCCTAAAATCATATATAGCAGCAGCAGCTGCAACACTCCTTTCTGAGCAGGGACTCTGAATGCAGGAAACCAAAATGGACAGAGGGTTCAGTTATACACCCCCTTGGCTTCATAAAAAGTTTCTAAAAATATAAAATTGGCAATAATTTCTACGTAATGATATTTAATCTTGATATTAATTTATTTACAGTACTACAGTAGCTTCTTCCTAAAAATGATAGAAACAAATCTTACTATAGAATATCAAAGTAAAAAAAAATGTCAAAGAAAATGAAAATGACAAAATTATAGTTAATAATAGCTAAAATGATATTTGCAGGCAAAAACTCAGTAGGTTAATGAAAAATCCCAAAATTAAAAAGATTTAAATTCATCTGCTTGAGTACATCCAAGAAGCAGCAATGAATTATCCCTATAAAAGGAGTGTTGTCCTTAAAGCTAGTGTAACACACTGGTAAGTAATAATGTATAAGATATCAAAATCTGAAACTATAGTCAAACATGTAACAAAACTCTGATCAAAGCACAGAGAAAAAGGTGAAACTTCCTTAACAGGCCGAGTGAGCAGAAGTCACCATAAAAGAGAGTATGATTTCTGCCTTGTCGCACGCTGACAGTTGAGCCGGTGGGGGCCACTGTATGTGCTTATTTCGGCCTGGTCTTTCCTCCTCTGCTTAGCCTCCCTGACCGTCAGCCACCATTACATTCCCTTCCTGGTATAGTAAGCACTACACAGAGCTCCCTGTCACCTATGGAAACCATCAGTCTTTCTCTACCATTACCCTCCCCCTTTCCAGTTCTGAAAATATACTGGCATCAAAGTTACACACAGCAGCAGAACCAGTTACAGCAGAAACAGCTGATTCGCTAATTTTGTGTGATTTCTATTTCTATTAAGATAATAGTTATAACTAAAATCATTACCCATACTGTATGTAATTGAAAATAGAACGAAGACAAAATATCAAATGCTGAAACTGAGATATTTAATAGTTTTATGACAAATATATGCTCAATTTGGATTTGATGCCAGGAGTTGGGACAGGGGCATATTTACCACTGTGTTGTTTCACCTCTTCTTTTAACAACACTCTGCAAACGTTGGGGACGTATGAGTGAAAAGGGAAATGTTGTTCCATTCTTGCCAGATTTTAACGGCACAAAAGTTTGGGTTCTGCTTTGTCATATTTTTTGTGATGCACCAAATGTTGCACTGCAGGTCGGCCAGTGTAGCACCCTACACACACACACACACACACACACACAGTTTTGTAATTATACCTTTGTGGGGACTCTCCATTCATTTCTATGGGGAAAACTCTAATCAACATGACGACCTTAACCCCTACCCAGGCCGAGCCATAACCGTAAGTAACCAAACAAAAAATGATTATATATAAATGAATATATATATATATATATATATATATATATATATATATATATATATATATATATATATATATATATATANATATATATATATATATATATATATATATATATATATATATATATATATATATATATATATAGAGAGAGAGAGAGAGAGAGAGAGAGAGAGAGAGATGTTCGTCTTTTGCCTGACTTTTGCCAGGGTGTTAATGGAACAGGAAAAGGGGGCTGAAACGAGCCAAAGGAATCATCGCTGTGCAGCGTGATCTGGGGCAGACTGGGGCAACACAAATGAAGAGAGGAGGGCAATGTCACAGATGCTTTATGGTGATTATAAAGGAGGGTCTTGTAAAATGCTGCACTGTACCAGCAGAAATGCTTTTACACCATCAGCTTGTCAATGCTACTAATACAATTAAATGGACAATAATCAGATCAGATAATGGCTATTGCATTCCTTTTTATTAATAATGTTTGTTATTTTATTATTTGTAACATTATTATCATCATCAATAACAACATCAATAACAACAACAAAGAATAAAAATAATAATAATAATTTAACAATAACATAAACTCCACTGGAATTCAGACCTGATTATTGTGAATCTGATTATAAAGGAGATATCATCAGCATCTTAATAAAAATCAAATGCATAAACTATAAACAGCTTTATCTGATAATAGAGTCTTTTTCTGTGCTTGTTTAGTTTAATTTACAGCCTTCTCGGCAGGGAGCATCGCTGCTCGTAAAGTCTGTCCATCTCCTCTGTCTGCCCACAGAGGGAGCCTGCCAACACAGTCAGCCGCGCCTGGGGCGAGGCCAGGAGGCGCAGCAGAGAGCATCCGGAGGTTTATCTCCTGGCCCTGGCTTTCTGCCCATCACCATGGGCAACGTGTGGCACCTGAGAGAGTGCTGCTGGAGTAGTGTGCTGGAACCCAGTTGGGTGTTTACAGTGCCAGGGGGTCCAGTTTGAGTGTG